TTGATACTTGATACATTTTGATTTTAGTTAAGTGCATGGTGAGAGACATGGGTCCAGGTTCAGTCTCTGGCTTGTGAATAGCCAGTTTTCCCAGCATTATTTATTAGTCTGTCTTTCTTCCAGGGAAACAATTTGACCACTTGTCAAAATAATGTAGATGAGTTTGCTGAATATTGTTTCTGTTCCCTGTATTCTGTTCCGCTGATGCAGAAGACTGCTTTTTGTCAGTACCATGCTGTTTTCTTAACTATAACTTTGTAATTTAGCTTGAGATCTGGGATTGTGATGACCCTTGGAATGTCACTGTTGCCCAGTATTGCTTTTCCCATTCTAAGTCACATCTGGTTCCATGTAAATTTTACGATTGCTTTTTCGAGTTCTATGAGGAATGCTATTGATATTTTCATTGGAATTGTGTTAAATCTGGATAAAAGTTTGGAAGTATGACCATTTTGACTATGTTCTCTCTATTAAGGAACAGGGGATATCTTTCCATTTTCTGACACCCTCTTCAATCCCCCTTTTCACATTACTGTAGCTTTCATTTTAGAGGTCTCTCACTTTATTGGTTAGGTTAATTCCTAAGTATTTCATTTTTCTTGTTGATACTGTGGAGGTTATAGTTTCCCTCATTTCTTTCTCAGTAAGTTCGCTCCTGTTTTACAGGAATGATACTGATTTTTGTGCATTTACTTTGTAACCTGCTATACTACCTAATTTGGTTATTAATTACAGGAGTCTTTTGTTGGAGTTTTTGGCGTGTGTAATGTAGAGGACCTTGTTATTTGCAAATTATGATAATTTAATTCTTCCTTTCCTATTCATATATCTTTAATTTCTTTCCTTTGCTTGATAGCTCTACCTAATATGTTGAAAATTGTGTTTAACAAGACTGGTGACAGCAATCATTCTTGTCTTGTTCCTGACTTTAGAGTGAAAGCTTTCTACTTCTCTCCTGTTTAATATGAATTTGGCCACTGATTTGTCATAGATGCTTTTAACAGATTGAGTTTAGGTTTTTCTATACCTATGTTAGGTTGGATGTTTCTCATGAATTGATGATGCATTTTACTAAATATTCTTCTGCATATATTAAGAATTTTTTATAATTTTTGTCCTTCCTTCTGCTCATTTTTGTTTTGTGCATGTTGATCCATTCCTGTATCCTTTGAATGAACGTTAGTTGGAATTGGTGCATTCTATTTGGCAGTATCTCATTGAGGATATTTGCATCTATCTTCATTAAAGAGATTGACCCATAGCTCTCTTTTATGGTTGCATCCGTTTTTACTTTTGGGATCAGGTTAGTGCTTGCTTCCAAGGACTAATTTTGGGAGTATTGCTTCTCTTTCAATTTCATTTAAGAGTTTGAGGACTGCTGTCATTAGAACTTCTCTAAATTTCTTGTAGAATTCAAGACTCAATCCACTGGTACCTGGGCTTTTCTTAGTTGACAGTTTTTAACATAAATTATCCAGTTTCATTAACTGATATTGGATTATTTGGAATTTTTTGTCTTTGTAATCAATTCTGCTACCCACAATTTCAATATAACATTTAATCTCCTAGATTTCTGATTGAAACTGTCTCATACACTCTGATTGTTTTATAAACTTCATTCATGTTTTGTATAGTTTTATTTAATTCAGCTGGCTTTTTATTAATGTTTTCTGCAAGTACCCTGACCATTTTGGATACCACTTTTAACTATCAGTTTGTATCTTCCATGATTTTCCTGAGCACATCTTTGATCTTTTCTGTGAACTCCTCTGTTACCTTTTGGGTACATGGCTTATGCTTTTCTTCCCTATGAAACCCTTGGATTGAATCAGGGCTAGGTAGAAATTTTTGGAGACATTTTGTACCATTGTTTTCTCATATTTTATTTTTTGTGTGCTGAAGTTTACCATAGTTACAATAGAAAGACTTTGTTCCTAGGATAAAGACCTGTTCAGTTTATCTGCTTTTCACTGAAGTACTTTGGACATAGCTAACTGCAGTCCTCTTTCTATGCCCTAAGGTATGACCATTCCTGTTAATTTAGGAGAGGAAGATAATGTGCAATTGGCCCAACAACAAGTTCTCTGGGAAGGTACCCAGGTATTGTTAATGTCACAAACTAATCTGGGTATTGTCATACAGCAAAAACCCATCATAGTGACTACTATGTTACCCTGGCAACATCAAGGAAATCGGCTACTGCAGTACCATACAAGTTGTATATTAAAATGCAAGTAGTAGCAATTACATACCATAATGAACCACAGAGTAGAAATCTGCCATTTAAGTATAAACATTAAACCAGTGCCTTTCCTACATGGGACCTATTGCAATTGCACAGGTTCCTCTTTGTCCAGATTCAGGCCCTTTCCCATGAGACAGAAATGGGTAGAAAGTCAATGCACTTCTTTGTTTTTCCTTCTCTGCATTATAGTCAGTCTCTTCTACTTCTCTGTAGTTTTTATTTTTCCTGTCATTTCCTTTTGGATTACCAGAGATATATCCTGTCCCCCTGCTCAAAGTCAGATTTTGCAGAGTCTCAATTCTGAATCTTGGAGAAGCTGAATTGCTATTGCTCAACATTCAGCTATTTTCCAGCACTGAAGGTTTATTAGGGAACCCACACCCACAACAATAATGTACCCACAGAGCCCGACTTCCCCTGTTTGCAGCCTAAATTTCCCATTGGGGCACTGCTTGTAGCTTCCTTGAAGCTCTGCTAAGTGATAGCAGTTGGGAGCGCTGAGGGAGGTGAAGACCTTGGTCCATGAGGAGATCACAAGTCAGCAAAAGGAGCAGCGTATGTTTAGTAAATGAAGGACCCCAGAAGCTGACACACTCAAGATATGGCCTCTGCCTTAGGAGTGGGGGTGCCCGCTGTCTGGAAAAAAGAGACCAACAGAGTCTCCCTGTTGCCTGGGTCAGCCCTTGAGGGTCCTAAGCAGCATGCTCGCTTCTTTCTCAAGCAGGAAGGGGGCGTCATCAGGGAGTTGAGAGGAGGTGTATACTGGGGAAAGATGGATAAACTACAGAAGCACGTAAGGAATATCTTACTTGTGATCCCATTGCTGAGACACAACTCCCAAAACTTGCAGTTTAAGGGGGGAAAGTTGATTGGGGCTCACAATGTATAGACATCTCTTGCCACAGCCAGCTAACTCCAAGGCACAACAGCAGAGGGGAAGGGCCTGGGGGGAGGGAAGCTGAGCACAAATCCCACAGAAAGCACGCAGCAAAGAAAGAAGGCAGGGGGGAAGATAAAACCAGCCCCGTCACACCCACAGTGACTCTCCTCTTCCTAAGAGGCCCCACCTCCTAACAATACAGTAAAAGCCCCACAGTTCTATCATCTTCCAACTTCTCCTCCCTGTCATCCCATGGAAGTTTTGTGGGACATCTAGACTTAAACCATAGCAGGGGTCCTGCGTTATAGGAGAGATAAGCATAGGTATTGCAGTGGGAAATGGTGCCCTCATGTAGGCATGCAGGATGGGTGCTTGCTCACTTGTTCAAGCATCCTAGACACCTCAAGGAGCTGAACGACTTGATCTGAGGTGGGGTCTTCAGGTTGGCACAGGGAGCCCCACCTGATCAGGAAACACTTCTCACATCTTCCAAGAGTCAAGCAGAGGACCCTAACGGAAGACTGAGGGTTCCCTGCCCACAACACAGATAGCGGCTGCTCCACAGATGCATTCCCTCAAGCCTTGGTCATGCCAGGAAGGCCCGGAAAGGCCGCCGGGCTGAGTCAGCTCTCTTTGTTTTGCAGAGTTGCTCTCAGTGAGGTGGAGGCTGGGTACAAAGGAGCTGAAATCCAGACAGCAGAAGTAGGAATCCAGGGCCTACCCAGGGTTTACTTGAGGCAGAGGAAGCCCTGTGAGCAGAACGCACAGCACCCCAACCTCAGCCTGTCCCTTTGTCACATCTCATCAACATAGCTGGACTGGCTTCCCCTCACTTCCTCTGTGAGTGTCTCACAGAGATAGGGCCATGTTTTAAAGAAGGTGGATCCAGGTCATCGCAGGGAGAGTCCCAGACCTAAATGTTCATCAAGATAAGATGGCGCAAATACCTTTTCTTTGAGAGCTTGTTTGGAGGTTCTAGCAGGGGAGCACAGGTACTCATATACCCTTGACTGAGGAACGATCCTCCTCTATCGGGGGTGGTCATCCTCTTTGACCGAGCATGCAACTTCCGGAGGGACGCACATGGAGCCTTGAGGGAGGAAGGGGACACCCGCCTAGATCAGCTGAATCAACCCTGGTGATCAGTGGAGTGACAGACATTGCAGCCAGGTCGACCTCACATCCATTTTTCCTAGGGCATAAGGACCCAAATGATTTTTTCTACCTCCAATTGTTGCCCTCAGGCAGCTGTGTCCAGAAGTACATCCCTCTTACTGCCTTTTGTTCCCTATCAGGGAGAAAGCGTTTTTCTGAGAGTTTACCACAGGCCAACAAAACGCTGGGGTCCAAGGCCTGCTCACGGAGTGTTGAGGGCCCTGAGTGAGTGTAGAAGGGGCCATTCACCCCAAACAGTGGGAATAACAAAAACCCTAGCGAACCCTATCCTGTGAGAGCTGGAGGACCAGGACGGTGCTTGTGGTCTTCAGCCTGAGGGGCCATTCATCCCTCTTACCAGAGCTCCAGTAATGGGCGGAGAAGGTCTTGGTCTGGGGCAGTGTCCCCAGGTAACAAAGCACAGGGGCCCAAGAGTCGAGGTGAGGTGAATGCCCTGTGTGTGTACCTAGGTCTCCACGTACCCAAGGATAGATGGGAATCTTTGTGCCCAGGCCTCACGCATCCTATGGTCTGCTCTAGGGCCTGTCCTCTGCAATTCAGCTGCACCCTGAGAAGCAGTCTGACTTTCTGTCCCAGATTCTAGAGGGACAGGACCCTGTGAGCAGCACTCAAAGTCAAGACCCGCACTGGGCCTTGGGGGTAGCTCACAAGAATGCTCTTGTCACGTAAGAACGCTCACAGTCTTCCTCTCTCCTGCAGGTTTCTGAATCATTGCCACCACGCTCTTGGCGTCCCCAAGGAACCTGGGAACTTCTTCATGGTCAGAGGAAACAGCACAGCAAGTTAGGGACTGCCCTGTGCAGTGTTTCCTCAGGCTCCTCTCCCGCCAGTACTCAAATCTCTGGTAGGGCAAGGCTAGTGCCTTTTGGCAAGGGCACCAAGTTTTCCCCAGAACCCTCAGGGCCTCTTCTCTGCACCACTGCCATGGCCTCCAGTCAGAGGAGCCAGTCCAGTGAGTGCTGCAGCAGTGAAGCAGGGGAGGATCTACGCACCTCCCAGGACGTGCTAGTCCTGCAGTTCTTGTGCCATGTGTTCCTAGATGACGAGATAGCTGGACTGTTGCCAGTGCTGCTCCTGAAGTATCAAAAGCAGGAGCCAATCACCAAGGCAGAAATACTGCATGGGTTGGGCCATGACAACCATGAGCAATACCCTGTAATACTCAAGACACTCTGTGAAAGCATGTGTCTGGGCTTTGGCATTGATATGAGGGGGGTGGATCCCCATGGCCACACATACGTCCTTATGCCTCTCTTGGGCCTCACGTACAAGGGGCTACTCAGTGATGACTGCCGGTGCATTTCCCGACTGCACATACTGATTGACATCCTGACTATCATCTTCTTAAAGGGGAACTGTGCCAGCGAGGAGGACATAAAGGAATTCCTAAGAGCAAGGGAAGTGTTACCCCAGAAGGATCACTTTGTTATTGAGGAGCCCTGGAAATTTGTCACTGAGGATTTGGTGCAGGAAGGGTATCTAGAGTATCGGCAGGTGCCCAATAGCGACCCTGCTTGCTATGAGTTTCTGTGGGGTCCAAGGGCCCATGCTGAAACCAGCAAGATGAAAGTGCTGGAGCATTTGGCCAAGGTTAATAGGAGAGATCCCAGGTCCTACACACATCTGTATGCAGAGGCTTTGAGAGAGGAGGAAGAGGCTGCCCATGCCTCAGAAACGGGTCAATGAAGGGGCAAGGCACACGCCAGGGACCGCAGATGTTCCTAACCGCATCAGCACCTTAGTTCCCATCCCATGTGTAATAAAGTAGTACAGGTCCAGGGGAGGCATAAAGAGCCATGCATACCATCTTGGTTCCTGTTCCCTTTGGGTTACTTGGAAAAGGTATGTCTTTTTTTTCTTTTTTTTTGAGGTAGGGTTTGATTTTAATTGTTTGGCTTTTTTTGAGACAGTTTCACTGTGTAGTACAGGTGGGTTTTGAACTGACTATATAGCCAAGGCTGGCCTCCAGCTCATGGTGATCCTCCTCCCTCAGCCTCCTGAGTGCTTTGGTTACAGGTGTGTGCTGCCACACCCAATGAGGACATGTCTTTTCTTTATGACTTTTTGAAGTCTCGCTCCTTTTTTGCAAGTTTGGCATAACTTTTGCATCTTATTTGAATAATGATGTGGATCTCACGTGTGTTTTCAGTTTTGCGATACTGATAATTTGTCGTGATTTCTGATGTGAATATGATTTTGTGTGATATTGATCATACGGGAATTTTGTTCTTCCATTCCATGTGTAAGACTGTTATTGTGTAAAACCAATTTGGAAAACTTTCATTTTATTTTGGAGAAGATACTATAGTTTTGGAATAGGAATTTCCATGGAAATGGGTGAGAAGAGTGCATCAAGTTAGACGGAGATGACATAAGGGTAAAAAGCAGTACTTGGTTTCTTTTCTCTGTGTTATTTTATAATTAAGCTATATGTTTAGCTGAATATGCTTTGTTTTTTCAATTATATGGGGGAAATTTACTGTCAGTAAAGAAGCCTATATGTTCACGGACCCATTGTCCAGCAGTCCTTCATTGCACATGTGCCCATTGAGGGCCCTGCGTCTGTGGTGGAGATATGAGCACATTACACTGAGCAGGATCAACCCTCCCCACAGGACGGGGGAGTCTACAAGTACCACCAATGTCGAAGACAGAGAGATGTTCTCAAGGGTCCTAGAAGTCAAGTAAAAGGCACTGTGAGGGGTGGGGTCTAGCGGAGAGCAGCCACAGGAGAGCCCTGAACCGTGGCAGTTAGGGGCTTGGGTAACTGCAGTTCCTTCCGCAGGAGCTGATTTTAATGCAGCTGCATGGTGGCCAGGGCCAGACCCTGAGATGCAGTGGTCCTATGCAAGAGAACTTATCCCCAGACTCTGAAGGGATTTCCTGAGAGACTCTCAGGTTAAGTGAGGCTGTCAATTCCCCAGTCAGGTGGCCTTGTCCGCTTTCCAGGGTCTTGCATTGCCACAGCTGACTGGCTTCCCTGAGGACAACTTCTCCACGTGAGTCCACTTTGCCTCCAAACTCTTCCCAGATAGGTACCAGAATCTGCCCAATGGCACGGGCCTCTTACACAAGTCATCCCGTGACTGACTGACCAAAAGTTTCTCGCTCCCGGGAGCCTTCTAAGAGTTTGTGAGAAGGCTCTCCCTGTCCTACATCAGGACTGACACAGGATCAGTTTTCAAACCTTTCTTTTCCAAAGGAAGTTTATGCTGCTGATGTCACGGTGTGTAATTTAGCTTGAAGCTTCATGGAGCTATATCTGTGCTGAGCTGGCCTGGCCACTAAAATGACCAGGGTTTTAGGCCTCCTTGTCATAGAGGCCTGTGAGCCCCCAGGCGAGACTTTTGGTGAGGGTGATATTGAAAATAGTGACAGTAGAAGAGAAGCTGGCAGGGAGGTGTGTATGGTTCTTCACTGAAATTCCAAAAGCAGTGAGTTCGTTTTTCCTAGCAAGAAAACACTCCCCAACATCAAATCAAGTAATACATCCTACTAGAGAGAATATACAGAGGGAATGTTTACTGAGTAGCATTTTTGCATGATGTTTTCAGTTTTCTACTTTGATGCAAATTCCCGGAGAAATCACACAAATTTTATAGGAAAACCATGGTAGTATCCAGAGCAAAAGTAATACGAGAACCAGCTGCTTATCAGCAAGTATTCAATATGTGTCAGGCTTTCTGCCAGGTGTTGCAGTACACTTCTTCCATTCCACCACTCCTACAACCAAAAGTGTGTGAAACCCATTTTATAGATGAAGACACTGAGGTCTACTGGGCTTGGGATCTTCTGAGGATCCCTTTGTGGGCAATGACAAGGCCCCAGTTCAGACTCTCATTGTGAGGTCTTCTAGAGGCCACCCTGTTTCCATTCCTCCCCACCTGTACCCACCTATATTCTGAATTTATTTCTGTATTCTGAGAAATAAAAATGTAACAAAACAAAAAAATCTTTCATGGTGTAGAAGAACCCTGTATCCCAGGCACTGAAACCTGGCCTGAATTACAAATATATACCTGAGTGGTCCATGGCTGCAGACTACTCCCAGGGGACCTGCCCACAACCACCTGCCCTGCTTGTCCCTTTGCTCAAGCTGCAAATGCTCCAATAGCATCAGTCTTTCAGCCATAAATGTTAACTTTAGACTATGATGTTTAGAGTCTGGTTTCTTTACCTGAGAAACAAAATAACACAGTCTCAAACTTTCCCAAATGGGTGATAAGTTGTTTGATATGGAACATAGTATCTTCTTTGTCTTGGGAGGTAAATTAGGGTAGCTTTCTAGACCATCTTGGCATTTTTGTAGGCTTTTAATGAAATTTGACACTAGAAAAGGTCCACAGAACACATGTGCAGGTGCCTGAGCTCATGTATGTGGTCAGACCCGCAGCTCCCTGACAAGCTGCAGTTGACATGGGACCACGCTTACCACAGTAGAGGAAAAAAAGCATCTGCTGTGAGAAAACTGCTCTAAAACCTGGAGTGTTCCGAGTAAGTGCTTCTTTGTTGATCTAAACAACAAGCAAACCAAAACAAACAAAACAAACCTTCCTTGTACTGCCTCTGGTCTGTGTCCCTCCCTACAGGCAAGTCCAGGTTTTCAGTGTGCTTCATGAAACTAGTTCTGGTGTTCAGAAAAGGTCAGTCATAACATGTAAATGTGATTGACTCTCTATCTGAAGCATGGGCTGCATAGCAGGTACACGTGAAAAGGCTGAAGAATTTCCAGGCCTATCTTACCTCCTGAAAAACTCCGCACACAAGGAAGAGAATTATAGCTAAGTAAATAACATGCGTTACTTGGGGCTGAGCATCCGCTCTGTGATCCCTGATGAGGAAACTACCTGTCGTCATCCACACGCAGCTTGTGTTCCCTCTTTACCAGACAGGGGAGTGTTACAGCATATAATCCTGTGCCACTCAAATACTTGCAGAGCGATTACTCATTCGGTACAGCCATTTCTGTAGGAGGTGCAGCGGGAGCCCTGCATTAATCCTCGCCCCATGGCCACAGGGCACCCAGACTTCTGTGCTTGCACCCTAGA